GTTTCAGGACCCCACCTTGATGTTTCAGGACCCCACTTTGGGTCCCGACCCCAACTTTGGGAAACACTGTTCTAGCCAGTAGAGAGCAGAAAGCTAACACCGTCCTCTGATGTTCACTGAAGGAAGCCTCTGCTGGAGCCACCCCAAAAAGAAACGAGTGGTGATGGATGAACAGTTCGTCCAAATAGTCCTGAAAAGGTGTCAAAGATGCCTTGCCAGTATCCATGTAGCTTTGGACAGGACCAGAACTCCAGCTTTAGCTGCAGTCTGCTCCGAGGCGGCGTCRGGCCTAACAGCCRYMGAGCTWGAATGWTTGCCTTTCCTCGRGTTTGTCGCCATTCTTCTACTCTTCCAGGCAAGAATCACTCAGGGGTCGAGTCCGGACAGACCAARTGYTCAAAACAGCAAGGACATTTAGTACAGAACCACAAACAGAACAAGTCRGAGCGGGAGCCCACGCGACACACGACTTACTCCTCCGCCATCTTCTACAAAATAAGGTTTTAAACTGAGGATGCTAGTATATTAAAATTTAAAATGAGATTCAGGAAGGTTTGGTTTACTTGGACTTCAATGAGCTGTAATGTTTTGCTTTACTCATTGAAAAGAATGACTTGAAAGTAAAAAAGGGAAAAAAAAGAAACCCAATATGCTGCAAAACTGTATGATAATAATCATCAATAAATGATACGAAGCAGTTTTAACTTATTTTTAGGTGTAAATATTACCACAATGATATACTTGACAAATAACCAGAAGTTAAGGCTCCAGAAAACAAACTCCACACAAATTTCAAAACTTGTTCAGCCCTTTAATTTGTTAAATATTTGTTGGTGGGCTTTTCATTTTCATTCTGCTGTGGACATTTAAAGCATCCATGATTCTTTCCTCTCAGGTATCCTGGTGTATCGAGCTCATAAGATCATTGAGTCGTGCCAGGAGGCCTTCATCCTTCGCCTGTTCAGACAGAAGAATAAAACTGGCTTCATTAAGGCCTTCACAGATAAGGCCACAGCTTTCTCCTCTGGCTTCTGTCAGGTCGAACGTGTCATGAGGAACCTGTTTGTCAAGAAGCTCTACTTGTGGCCCAGGTACAAAATAAACATGTTTTATTTGATCCGGTGTTCATGAAATTGCTTTATTTACTTTTTTTTTTTTCATCGTTCTTGTTAAACAGGTTCCAAGCGTCTGTGAACACAGCGCTGGACAAACACAAGCCAGAAGTGGTGGAGCTGCATGTGTCATTAACASCAGCAATGAGGGCCATCCAGAGCTCCATTCTGGACCTGATGAGCGCCTGTCTGAAGGAGCTGAAACGATATAACCCTACTCTGGAGGCCGAGGACCTGTCTCTGGAGAACACACTAGGAAATGGATTTGAAAAGGTTAAAAATGCAGCAGTGCTGCTACATTAATGTGTTAAAGGGATCCWCGATTAGTTGTAACATTAGACTTTATTTGATAAACATTTATTTTAACTGTAAAATAAAGACTGTAAAAATACTGTAGGCTGTTTAGTTTTGTAAATTTTTAAATATATATTTTAACACAGACGGAGCCATTTTATTTACACACAAAGCATTCTGGGTAAATGATGACCTGGATAGGTCCTCAGTGTGAGTGAGCTATATCCACCCTGAAGGTTAATCTTGGACAATATCTGATGATCGACTCTTTTAAATGAAACCAGAGAGCGTTGACAGAGAGGAGAAGGTAGAAATGACTCAGCCTGGAACTGAAAATATGGATGGAGGACAACAGAGCTGCTTCATGGAAGAAGAACCTCAGCTTAGCCTGTTAGCGTTAGCGCCAACGCTATATTGCCTTATATGTATTAGCTCGGTGCTAGTGTGACAAACAAACCAGCTAAACTGAGGTCCTCTCTATATTTTCAGTTCCAGGCTGAGTCATTTCTACCTTCTCCTCTCTGTCAACGCTCTCTGGTTTCATTTAAAAGAGTCGATCATCAGATATTGTCCAAGATCAACCTTCAGGGTGGATATAGCTCGCTAGCAGCCTCGCACCAATGACCTATCCACATCATCATTTACCCAGAATGCTTTGCATGTAAATAAAATGGCTCTGTCCGTGTTAAAATATATTTTTAAAAACTTAGTTTAAAATTTATAAAAACTAAACAGCCTACAGTATTTTTACAGTCTTTATTTTACAGTTAAAATAAATGTTTATCAAATAAAGTCTAATGTTACAACTAATCATGGATCCCTTTAAAAGCATGATGTGTTTTTTAGGAATGTATATCTTTTTACTCCCATCCAGACTGTTCGTCACTACCTAGACCCCCTGTGGCATCAGCTAGGAGCAAAAACTAAAGCCCTGGTTCAGGATCTCAAGGTGCTCAGAGTCCTTCTACTCTACCTCACTCAGTACGACTGCGTTACCTTCCTCAACCTGCTCGAATCTCTGCGCTCCAGCCAAAAAAACTTTGGCTCAAATTCAGGTAGGCTAAATTGTTTGGACTAGAATCACTTTTGGCAAACATTTAATTTAATCTTTGTTTACATTTGATTTAACTTATAAGGATGGCTGTTTCTGGACTCGAGCACCTCCATGTTTGTGAATGCTCGGGGCAGAGTGTACCGCATTCCGGAGACCAAAAAGAAACTCAAAGTAGGAGCAGACGCAGAGAAACCGAAGTCTTCCACTGCCTCAGGTGACCGAGGACGTGACAGATCTGCTCGTTTATTAGACTCCATGTCTACAGTCTGTCCTTTGTTCTGTTTATGGCTTCAGAGGTGAAGAGGGAGCTGGTGCTGGAGAGGAGTCCGAAGTGGGAGGCTTTGAGGGAGGTGCTGGAGGAGATCGAGAAGGAGAACAAGAACTCACAACATGAAGCAGGTTAGAACCCGGTGCTGTTAAACTCTGACATTAGTGCATCACGTCACCTCCGCTCACAACCAACACAGCACGTGCTGTATCAACAATTAGGATGTAGCCTTTTTTAAGTTTTCAAATTTATATTTTTAATCAAATAAAATCCAACTTTAAACATATGAATTTTTCCCTGTGACAACATGACAACACAAAATGACCAAATCAGTGT